ATCCTGAGAAAACATTCAATATATAGTGAACTAAGAGATGAAACTGGAAGACAAGGAGGAAACACCTGCACACCTCAGAAAACTGAACTATCATCTGTAAGAAACAATTTCCAATTTTCTCTCACATTTAATTTTAGCTTTAAGAGAAACAGCTATGCAAAAAAGTTGAATTAATGTAACTTAACAGTGACCTAACAAAGCAAAACTGAACTTAGATCTACGATAGCTTTTTAGGCCAAACTTGTGATTAACTTGCAGAAGTACTGTTAAACTGTAAGTTGGCAGAGGGAAGAAAYTGAGATTTGTTTTCTTCTCACTGCTGACCAGTGTTTGTCAAGAAACATGTTTAAAAAAAATTATTGTGTAAGGGCAGTGCTATGTAAAGAGGAGGAATGTCTACTTTCACCATGATATTCTTCAGTTGCTTATTCCTTCTACCAGCTCCTATTTTTAAATTAAGCATGCTTGAGGGTCACTGTTCTAGGTGCTCCCAACTCCCTGTGTACATTGTCCATCGAAGTTTTCATACACAGACTTTACCCTTAAACTAGAAAGCAGAATTCCATGAGCCTTYCTTCAAGAGATTCATATGAACAGCTTTTCATCAGATGGAAATACAAATGCATCTGTTCTTGGGAGCCGGAAGTTCTTCTGGACAACAAGTACTGTAGAACACAGGGCATAGCCTCAGATTTTGGYCCTAGCTCAGACAGAGCTCAGATTAAAATCAAATTCACAGCTGAAGGCTCTCAGTTCATGATACTTGACCATTTTTGACACCACTGGTTTCACTAAACGAATGCAAATTCCATGCACAAAGAAAATTCGCCATATCTAGAATTGATGTGACACAGACCTTAATAAACAAACTATGGCTTGCAGATATTGTTACTGACATGCTGTCAAATGACCAAGTAGATTATGCARATGAAAAATTGCCCTCATGTGATGGGATAAGTCATAACTATGGGTTCTGGTGTTAAATGCAAGACCCTGAACACAGTAGTTGACAGCACAGATGGAAGATCACTTACAGAGGAAGGAAAATGCCAAACCTTTCAGGCTCTGAGCATAGTGGTTTTGAGGGGTAGCTTGGAATGCTTCATGTTCTGCATAAAAAGAAAAAAAAATTGAAAATGYTTTGGTTATTGTAGGTTATTAGAGGGTTAGAAATATACAACATTATTAAGTTAAAGCTTACTCTGTAATAAGTGTATATCTGAAAGGATTCTGGATACAARCTGATACAAGGTTTAATTTTCTTAAGGGAAATGGACACAGACAAAARGATCAGGAGGTGTCACTGGCATACAGTTTCAGTATGACATGCAAAGATGTAAATGTGTGAATGAGTAATCATTAACATTTTGTTACACACTCATAAAAACATTGAGGTCTGTCCACACACTAGGTATCTTGTCGAGCAGATCTGAGAGACCTCAGCAGTAACACTAATATTCTGAAAAGGAAGATTTACTTCTATTCTCTGTTGAAAAAGCCTCTTCCTCCCATYAAAGAAGTGTGTCACATAGAAGCCACGTCATCAAACTTTAATCTCCTCTGTTCCATTCCAGCAGCTCCTCTCATAAAATCTTACACACCTTCATCCTCTCCAGGTCCTTTGCAGGCTTGTAGAACTTCTTGAGTGGGCAAGCAGAAGCTGTGTCAGCACACAAAGACAATCATTGTTTCTCAAGAGTGATTTTAGGACTAGCACAGAGAATGTTAGTCTAGCACAAGCACAYTGAGACTGAACTTCTCCCTCTCCACTGATCTGCCAACACACACCTCTCTGTTTCTGGCTCTGTTCCTGCCATTGGATTGCCACATTTAATTACATTTAAAATAGTATCTACAGAGACTGTTGTCCAAAGAGCAGAAGCATTCCTATGATCTTTTCTGGTCAATGTCAACGATTGACCAAGGGATAGAATTAAAATTTGAACAGTATTTTAGTGGCAGTTTATGCTGTATTGACACTTCCTGCTATAGATATCCAAGCACATTAGACAAATGCCCAAATGGCAGAACCAACAGCATCTAAGCTTTTGCTCTCTAGTTCCTTCTCAGTGAGGACCCAGAAATCAACTCTCATGAAAGCACTATACTACAAACAGATATTCATGATGAGCCTTATCAATACCCATTAGAAAAAAACATCAGGAGGATTGAGAAATTTAATTTAATTTGCTTAGAACAGCATGCTCCTGTTTAAACAGGCAGAATGTCATTAACAGAAGCCAGTACATGCCAAATGACCAACTGAGCTGCACTGCAGAGAGCAAAGGATGGTTGTAGTAAAACCATGAATTCCAATTACYCATATTAAAAAATCTGATTACATGTGCCCTAAAATATCTACACCATTTAACCACAGCTAAGTGTAATTACAACTGTATTGAAGAACTACATGCAAACAATTATAGTCCTGTCTCCATTTTATTTTGAAGTACATATATATATATATATATATATATTTATGTATGTAAGCATATTTATTTTAAATCTGTTAAGGATCCAAAGGTAACTTGCATAAGGAGGCTACCATATACATGCTTTTTACAAGGTTTCTTCTATCTAGCAGAGGCTAACAGCCTACTGCTSAGAATTACTCCCACAGTTCCCATTTTCCTGTCCAGGGAAGACTCCTTAGGACAAGGACTCTGCACTTGTCCTCAAAAAGCCTTCCATGCTTTTGAAACATCTGCACAAGAACAGGATGGGGTCCTACATGACAAACATGCACTAGTACTTTGTATGACACAGCAGTACTACTTATGATCACACATCAGAAAACACATCAAATACCTTCAGAAAATACATCAAATACCTTCAGAAAATAAACTTGCCATTTGTCATGTGCATTAGAAATTGAATGGGATACTAAGATGTAAGAGCTTATATTTGAAAAAAAATGCATGCACATACACTCCTGTTATTTGCACTCCCCTCCTTTTCCCCCCAAATCATACCTCAGTTGCTGTTGTTGGATAGCCCAGCTGGATAGCTTCTGACCTAAAAAATCAACACCACCTGCTTTACACAAGGCTTGTTTCATTCATTAATGAGGTGCACTGTTGCTGGGAGAAGATAATTGTTACYGATGGGATAGGCTCTGAAGTCTATACCTAAGAAAGCTTTGTTCAGGAAGGCAGGGCAGATCAAAGACAATTTTCTCATCAGAGACACATAAAGAAYAGTAACTTTTCACAGCACCACCCTCAGCTACATCACATTATCTATCCCTAATGGAATAGATTCCTCCTACTTAAACATCTGAGAATTAATCTGAATAGGCTTAAGGGAGAAAACTGTACATTTGCCACCAGACAGACAACACACTGCCACCTTCCACAGTGAGAATCAGGACTTCAAGTGGTATGAAAGAAGCCAGCCCTAACAGCTTGTTTTATCAAATCTTTTCAGTTGCTGTGAATGKAAATGTCCTGTGAAATGGGGCTCCTTCATATTCATCCAGGTAATGATGATAAACCCTTAAGCAAGCAAGTAAAAAAAAAAACTTAATGCAACTTCAAGGAACTTATATGCACTTATAATAGTGGAAAGAGAAATCTCCTTGGGGAAAAGCYCACCAGTGTTTACTTGTGCAGTGAATTCAGCAGCCCCTTCAACAGTCCAAGGGTTAAACATTGAGAATTGGAGGGCCTGAGGGCAAGGGATTTCTGTGGAAGCCTTAATATTTGTGAAGAAAGAGGCATTTGGGCAGATACTGAGCTGCAGTCAGCGGGATGAGGCAAGCAGCAACTTAATTCTGTTGGGAAGAAAAGGTTTGCTTCCCTTGGTRACAGGTAAAGAAAAAGTGTCTGGGCTGAAGCTCCAAGAGGAGTTTCTTCTTCATATAAGTAGCTAAGAATGGGCACTTCATTCTATGGGGAGCCATTTATCTGCCTCTGTTACTCACCAAAACTCAAGCAGCCTTTTTGTTTTTACAGACAGGACAGGCTCCCTTTTCYTTCCATACCTTTAAATTCCTACCATGAATCCACTCTCCTCTACCAGCACAGAGAGGACTATGGATGGACTCAGCAGCTGCACTGAGCCTTTGAGCTCTCAACCCCAAGCCCCAGCACAGTCCCCATCAGCCATCCCAGCAGGATCCTTGCTGCTCAGGAACTTCTTCCACCTGGTCTCCCTGGAGCTGTCCTAMTTCTTCTCCATCATCCCTAAAATCCACTGCCCTGAAACAGCTCTTGCATTTCACCCCAAGAACCCCCATAACCACAACACAGACCATTGCTTGAAAAGAACAAGTAGTTTACATTTGAATAGAAATATTATACAYTAAKTTACTATAGAAAAAAWATATATACACACATAAATATACAGACATTTGTGCCTCTAAATTTTGTAGGAACTGCAGTGATTTTATACCACAAAAAGCACTCATTGCCAGTACTGGTTTCCATTCAAGAGATTTCCAGCCTTGAACAAGAGCTACGGACATGTACCTTTTCACACCTTGTCCACATTTTGCCAAAAAGTTATTTTTGCATGCACATACAGAAGCACACTCTTCTTGTAAAGCAACAAATCACTCATATGGAGAGCCAACAACAAGGATAACTAGAGAATCAATGGTTTGCTTACAGCACTGTTGAAGGTCAGGAATTCTAGGTTTGCAAARTAAGTGCTTGTACACAACAACCACAAGAAAACAAATTAAATATCAGAAAAACATCTACAATTCCAACATAAAAGAATAACAAACTATTTGGCATCAAACTACATAGCTTGCTCTGAAAAATCAGCCYTGACTATTCTATTTAAATGTATTTAACATTTACTGCTGATTTTTTTCATATACGCAGCAGTTTTTTTCTGTAAAATTAAGGTGGATATTAGTGAACAAAGATATTGAATTGAGACTGGATATGGGTGATGAGTTCATGCTCCTCCTTTAACAACATGAGCAAAACAAATGTAAACATACTATTTGAAAAAGAAATGTTACATTAAATTTAAAAAAAAAAAAAGCCAACACAGTAATAAACTATCTATTTGAAAGACAAAGAACTGAAATTCTGTGAAAATGAAGAAAACTGAAGACAAAAATGTGAGTACTGGCTGAACAATCATTTAAAATAAATTTTTCAATAAAAGAGAATTGCAAATCTAATCCCCAGCTTTTAAAAAACCACTAATTCTTTACTGCTTCTTTAAAATTCTTCCTAATTTTTCTTCTATTGTTTTCAGAGTACCATGCAAATCAGAATTGAATACAAAATTCATTTTAGAGCCTGTAATTCAAGATGGACTAAAAKAATGTTTCCTCCAGCTGTGAGTGTTAGGTCAAAAACAGAAAAAAAGTCAGAAATACTGTTCAGCACAGGATGAGACTGCAGCTCATGGTGGAAAGAACAGTGTTAAAAACCAGAACTGTTAATGAGGGAACTAAGCAAGAATTGAACTTTTCTTTGCTTAACCTTTTATTCCAATCATAAATGTATTGTCTGCTTTGAAGAGAACTAAAACTGAAGTAACCTCTTGCTGGTAATCTGTAGCTRTAATTTATTCTTTTTGAAAAGAATCATTCTCAACAATGAGGAAAAATTCTCAAAAAAGAGCAATATAGGGAAAGAGAATATAGTTTTGAATGCACTGGTTTAAACTTTCAGAAAAGCTGAAAGTGATGGAATTATTGAATACAGCACATGGAAGGAGGTACCGATTCTGGTATGCAGCTGTTGAGTTGGAAGGGAGAAGGTGACTGTTGGCTCAGTGTTCCAGAACTAAGACTGCAGCAGGGAACATCCATTCGGGAGACATTGTCACAATTAGCTAAAAAASCTACCAAAAAAACYAAMCAACAAACAAATAAAACAAAACAAAACTGAAACGCTCAATCAAATTTTAAAAACCCACAGGTCAGTCTTGTGGGATTTTTTTCTAGCCAGATATGAGTAAAGCATTCTACAAAAAAAGTCAATGTAGATACTAAATATGAGAGGCTCCAAAAAAACTGGAGTTTTTTTATCATGCATTTGCATGATAAAATAATGGCTCTTATTTAATAAGAGCATGATGCTGTTGGAAAATTCTAATGGAAGCTAACCCATAAACAAACACTAACAATGTTAGTTAACCTCAGAGAAGTTAATATATGTTAAGACTAAAATATAGCACCTAAGAGATGCTGTATATAAAGGCATTTGGAACACAAGGTCGATGCAAGACTTTTGAAAGTTTTAGCTTTAAATACTCAAAAGAAAACAAAAAAATTATTTTAAATGGTCACTGTTTAGCAGATGTTAGTGAATGCTTGAATGTAAGTTAAATGTAGCAATTTTAAAATGTTAATATTTTGGTCCATATGATATCCACAACACTTTCTTCTCTACATAAAGTAACTAATAATTTTCCTGAGGTTCTTTGTTCGTTGGTTTTCAAGTCCAAAAAGGAGAAAAGTCTTCACACTGAATTCTTCTCATACAGAAAAAACCTCCTAATGTTATGATCAAGCTCTCAACCACTTAGTAGGATCTAATAACAGAACAGCTCCTACTGCTGCATACAAACTACTTGGAATGTTGTCTAGGAATTCAACATCTGAAGCAAACAATGCAATTGCTTAACTTGATTTCTATGTTGGCAGCAGTTTAGTTTCATTTACAGCTTTAAATTTATTCCACGTTATTTGTAGGAGCAATTTCTTTTTCTTAAAGGAACATCTGTCACACATCACACAGCTATTATGCTCTGACAAACACTTATGGCTTCAACTTAAATATTGCTAAAAGATAATTTTTATCACATTCAATTTTCTAAAGATTCCTGGTAATTATTTTAATGGTATGGACCACGTTGGTCTTAGAAGATGTCACTGTTGAAAAAGATGAGTTTGTTTTTCTGAATATTATGGCGACAGCACACTTGGACATATTGCTTTGATTGGTATTACTTCCTTTGTTTCCTTGTGCATCTCTTTGTTAGGAATGTATCCATAAGCCCTACATGACAAGCAGCAGCAGGTTAGCACACATTTGACTGAGCTGATAGCTTTAACTGCACAAAGAGGTAGATAAGATGAAATGGCAGCATCAATCATTTTCCATGAGAAAGACTCCTGCATTTAGTTGTTATGACCAACTGCAAATACAGTACCATTGCAAAGGAAGGCTGCATGCATCAATGAACCTCATKATAAAGGCAGAATGTAAGTTCAAAGATGTCAAAGTTGGAAACATTCACTGTTACAATTCACAGAGTTTTCTTTATCATACAACCTTGCATTCACCTGGCAACCTCACCTCTCTCCTCTCCTTATGATCAGGTCAAAGTTGCATTTTCTTAAGCATCCAAATCCATTACCACTTTGAAGTTTAGAATCCTGGACCTTCCTTTTGTCACAAAACCATTGCCATACTGATCCACTTAGCTGTTGGATTCTGTGATCTTGAAGCTGATCGATTCTATGGTCTGTTTAGTGCAATAAGAGTCAAGGGTCTCAAGGAGAAAACACAAACCCAGCATTGTGACCCGCATTCTAAAGCTAAGGAATTCAATGTGGAAGAYGTTCAGAAACAATGAACAAAATGGGCCATTTGGATAGAATCCAAATTACTAAAAACTCRAAACAGAAGAGAGAGGTGGTGTTCCACAGGGCAACAGAATGACCTGAAGTTGGCAGTGARCCACATCAGTCAAGCCAAAACAGCTTTCTGTCAGAACCCCTCTAAAATATGCTTAGTCTGAGTGTCATAACACAATTAAAAAAGAATTAAAAGAATTAAAAAGGCAGTACTTTGAGAGCACCTGCCTTTCCTTCCAAGACAKTTGAGTTCTCCAATTTGAAAAATCCTTCCAGGCTTCACAGGYGGAGGTGAGAAACTATGGTGAGGAACTATGGCAGTCTCTGATTTTATCTGTCTCCACAGACAATGCTTTTTCTCTTGGTTCTTGTTTAACTTGGCTCACACAGGTAACAACACCCTCTGTATTTTCTTCAGCTTAAAAAACAAAACAAAAATCAAACACTGAAGTTCAAACTCCACTGACAATGTTTCAGCTCCAACAACTATGCATTTAAAAGAGAAATATTTCAGGAACTTAAGCTAATAGGTAACTTTACTGCTATTTAGCTTGAYAGCCATTTATGTCACCTATTATGCTCTAAAACAATGCAAGCTGACATGAAGTTACTGCAGTAAGGCCCCCCTCAAGTAACAACATTTAAACCAATTTATTTTTTCAAGAAATGTTTGGAGAAACATTTGAAACATGTGAAATCATTTGAAATATTTGAAACATGTGAAATCATTTTTACACAAAATGTCTTTTCTCTTTCCCATGAAAAAACACAGCTACCATCTTAATTTTTGGTTTTTCTTGTGAGGGTTTTGGGGTTTTTTTTGCAGGGGAATGGAGAAATAGAGGTGTTATTGCTGAAAAAAATCAGCTCTAGAGCACATTGATTTAGAGAAAGACACTTTGGTCACAATTGGCCACTTCTTTTTGAGTAAAACAGCATTTCTTTAAAAATTCACTCAACAGTATTTGTCACATACAAAAATTTTTGGGAGGCATCAACATCTAGACTGAACAAATGGGTTAAACATTTGATAGGTTCTCTGAAATTCTTTTATCCTGGAGAATAAAGAATTTCTCAGGAGAGAAGTAAAATTCAATTATTAAATGGAAAGCAACCAGTTACACAAACTTTTGAGCACAACAAGTAGAAAATGCCTTAAATTTAACTTTGACCATATGGCCACAGCAAAACAATCCATTATTACCAACACATGAATTTCAGTATATTTCTTCATCCACACTTAATTTATACTAAATGTTGTAATACTGCGAAAATGAAAATACAAAAATACACAAAAAAATAAAAAGGTATAACGTTTTGCTGACCTGCAAGTCATTGGTGCTTACAGAGATAATTATTGCTTTGTCATTATGAAGGAGTAGCTATAACCTACCTCAACTTTACCATCATCTTTTTAGAAGTYACAGATGACATGAAAAGATAATGTAGAAATAATAAAGCATGCCACRCTAATATTTCAGACTCTAGGCAGGTGAAAGACCATATTGTGCTGATTTCTATGTCCTCCATATCTAATAGGTCTTCTTCATGAGGAATTAAAATCACTCAATGAGAAGGCAAGCACCCATTCCCAATCAGATCCCATGGCTGAGAACTCAGAAACTGTATCTATATTTGATAGCAATGGTTTTAAGCAGCCTTCTGTTTTCACATAAAGCTATTTATGGTGTTTATTGGGTATTYTTTAAAAATTGTTTTCAAACAGAAGTTTGAAAGTCCAAGCAATTACATACAAGTCTATCTGATCACTTCTAAAGTCTATTAATGACTACAGAATACCAGTTGAAAATTTAATTTCAATACCATTATTGAAAATTTTCAGAAATCTGCTGGGATTGTGCAAAGAAGTCTTCAAATCCCCCCGTATTTCTTTCCAAAGAGGTCTAGCTAGATTCAATATTCATTATTTTCTAGTCTTATTCCTCCCTAAAAAAAAAAAATAAAAAATTGAAGATCATAATGATAGCTAAATGTTAGGATTTCTGGCAAAAATATTGTACTTAACATATAAATTGGTAAATTGGTATTTGGTCAAAGAAACTGATTAACTTCTTTTTACAGCAAAAAATAACTTTTGAGGGTTTCATGGGTTTTGTTTATTTATTTTGGTTTGTGGAATTATTTTTCCTTTTTTTAAGAGTAAAAACTAATTAGAATCAGCTGAAAAAAAGTCTGCGTTGGAGTTCGCCACTGACAACATTTGTATCTCTTCTTCAAGACATACAAAACAAAATCCACTTTATTTTCTATATTTGCATACTATTGAGAAAACTGCARCTTACTAAGTGCTGGATGGCTGCCCACAATCCGTACTGGAATAGTCTGTACATCTCCCAAGAGAATCTGATGGACTCCTCCTTCTGTGCTTCTGGAGTCATCTACCCCTCCAGCTGGCACYAGCTGGCCCATGGCTACCAGACCCTGATCTGAGCCAGGCACAGTCCCAAATGCAGCACTATGCTGTGTTAGGCTGGCACCTGCTTGCAGAYTATGTCCCTGACTAAGTGCTGGTAAATGGCTGGTTATTGCACTCCCTAGGGAATCCAGGAGATTTGCAGGGCTGGGACAATGGTTATTTACAGCTATSAGGGTTGTTGATCCATTTGTCGAGGTAAATGTTGACTGCAACTGTAATCCCTGTGAAAGAGAAGGCAGAAGTACCAATATACCAGTATTCACAGCAGAAGGAGTTTGCATTTAACAACACRTGTTGTATTTTGGAACTAGATAGCTTCTGACTTCCTACTCCTTAATCCCAGCAATTCTAGGCTCAAAATGTATTTGAAAACAATTGGGACAACGGTACCCAGTAGCATCTAGAAGATTGCTTATGACCATAAAGCTCTAATTTTGGATTGATATTCAGTTTTAGTTAATTCCCCAGCACTGCTCATTCCCACAAGAGGTGGGTACTATAAGCTAAGCACTTTTTTCACAAGCTAAGCACTGCTTTAAAAAAATGGTGTGAGGTGGAGCCAGGCTGTCCTCAGAAAGAGAGGAAAACAGCAAGTAGAACAGAATCTTACTACAGACTGTATTTCTAGGGAAAAGATCATGCATTTCGTCAGAGTTTAGGAAATATGAAGGCAGCTTTTCAAAGTAGTTAAGGAAGAAGGATAAGAGAGCCAGCTTTGAAGGGAGATGAGCTTTAGAAGAGCTCTTTTAGCAWGATATTCTTATCCTTCCCTCTTCAGCCTTTCAACCTGCAAGTTTACAGCTGTGAGCTAGGAGCAGTTTCAGAATTTTAAGATATTTTCTTAAGAGGCTGGAGGATGATTTAAAAGGAATAAACCAGACTGTCTTAGCTCCCTGAAGTTTTGCAGCATTTTCATTATGAAATGACTGGATGGTGTGAAAAATGAATAGGTACTTGCTTTGAGGCAGAAAGTAACTTCAAAGTGTCAAAAGWTGGTCGTGGGATGCCCTGCACCACAACTATATGCCAAATGTAACATGCAAGAGCGAACTGAGTTAGAGTTGAGCTACTTCAAAATTCATGCCACCCAGCTACTTTTGGGATCAGCTGAGAGGAATCTGCTGTTCTCAGCTCACCTTCAGCACTTCCAGCACAGCATGTTTGATATTCTGTAAATGACTTGACTGTACCTGAAGTTGTGTAAATATCTTGGGCTGAGGTGAAGAGAGTGAAGACAACAACTGAGCTGTTTCTGGTATCAAGGATTCTCCACTCTGGTTGGATTCTGCTTTGGTGACGACTGACTCCCCTCCTGAGCTCCCTGCAATGCAAAAGTGAGGAAGCAGACAGTTATGASAAACATCTTATGTCTGTTTAATAAAAGCCTCCCCTGTGAACCAAACTCCCTTCAATCTCAACACACAGATACAGAAGATATGTATATACATACATATACTCTACTCTCTTTGCAGAACTTGGATGCTAAAGAAAAAAGACAAAAAGACAATACTGCAGGAAGTTTGTATGTAKCTGTACAGAGCCAAAACAGAGGCACCAATAAATCTGTTCTTGAGAGCAAAGCAATTGCCCCCTGCACTGTGCTTTGAATTTGTAGTTATCACATAAAAACTGAAATGCTTCTAGCAAAGCAGCAAATAATTTCACAATATCTACACCTCAGCAAGGGCTTAATAACAGACAGGTACCAAAAGAAAGGATCGTCTTTCAAAACAAGAATCTAAACAGGAAATTTTCTATGTCTCACCAGTCCCTTCCCATTTTTGAAATCAGCACAACTTCTATGCAATATCATCCAAAGTCCATTTATCTGGAYGCCTTTCAGCCTACAGATTACATCATATCCTCAAAATTCTTATTTAATGCAAGAGTGATGGRCTTCATTTCCTGAAAGCTTGTGAAAACTGAGATTTGCTTGTAGCAATTTCTGCAAGAAAACTTCTCCTGAGATCATTCCATTTCCTGTTTGAGCCACCCAGAACATTCTGGTTAAGATTTATGCAAACACAAGTTGACATTGCTCAGCTTTTTATTTGTCATGAAGGTAAAAGAAAAACTTGCCCTGTGAATGCAGATTAGTCTGCTGAATGCAAAAAAAATGAGAATTGTCAATTGCAAAACACTTTCTATCAGAAAAATCATAGAAAAAGTTTCCAGCAATCTGAGTRGAGGTAGATTTTTCAGTATATATACTGATCTCTAAACTCTTAACATTTATCCCAATTACCAGAAGATACATGTAGATCTATAAATCTTCTTGAACACGAGTACTTTAAATATTTAGACTCATTTAAATATTATACAGACACCCCATATGCACATGTGAATTTTYACATGCAGGAAGAGACAGCAGTTCTCTCCTAGGTTGTATTGTACAGCAACACCCCTAGGAAAAAAGGCAACAGTTCAATTCCTCCTCTTCCCACTACAGAGAAARTTATATCACATGGAGATAGGGAGTTCTGCACAAACAGGTTCTGTTATTGCCTGATTTTTAAATGTGAAGTTGTCCCCATGTGGCACAAGTTGAGATTTTAAAAAAAATAATGTACACAAAGACTAGTCTGAAAAGTCAGTGTTGTTCTCCCTTTCTACTACTTCACAAAAATTAATGAGAGCTCATTCTTAGGAAGTCAGGCTTCTTTTTTGTAATACAATTATAAATGTATGTTGAGATGTGTACAAACACATACCCCCCCATATAAAGGGAAATGAGACATGTAGCAATTAGAGTTTCTGCTTATATTGACTGAGCTGGTGCAATGTGCAGAAAACYAAACAAATCCCACTGTTTTGCTTCCTGTAAAATTCAGTATGTCACTGGATGGGTGTTTACACATTTGATAGGCTACTTTGTTTTAGAAATTATCTGTGTAAAACAAAAAAAGTAAGAATGGGTCTCCTTTTGAATGTTCTCCAGCACTCAGCTCATAGCAAGTTATGCCTGCTGAGCTCTATCACAGCTTTTGATGGCACAACTATTCCATCTCCATAAAAACACAGTAATGGCAATAYTAACATAGGCATGCAAGCTTAAGCACAGTAAGTCTGTTCACACTGCAAATTTCTCTTTTTCCTCAGAAACAAGACTTCCTTAAAAAAGAGGGACACTGTTCAAGCTGTGTCTAAAAACTAACCTCTTGCTCTCTCACATTTGTAAATACTGGAATTCTTCAGAGAATCACASATAATGCTTTTCAGTTCAAATTAATCCMCTGCAGCAGMAGCCAAAATAAGAGTTAAAAAATCMCAAACAAAACAGAGCCCAACCTTGGCCTTTTTTTATCAGAAAATACACTGGTTTACATGGAACTGCTTCACATAAATCAGGTTCACCAAGTCATTTAGGAGAACTCAAGAACTCATGCAGTGAACTCAACCTTTGGGGGTTTATATTTCCTGCTACAACAAATAAAAAATTGGCCCACATAAGRGGAAAGGGACACAAATACATCAGGACTTCTTCAGGCAAGAACCACAGGGTAACTGCTGACAGAAGTAAATCCTGAACATGGCAGCTGTGGCAGTGCCCCTCTGGTCCCTGTAGACTTCTCTGTCAGCTGTCTAGAACAAAATGTACCCACCACTATGTTTCATTTAAGCAGGAAACAAACTGGCTCTGTTACTGAGATTAAAAACATCTGTAAAGTCTGCAGCATTAGCTGAACGTGTGCAACCATTAGGCTCTTCCACCTCACTTCAATCACATCCCTGCTAAAAGCCAGGGATGAGTTCTGATGAGTTTCACACTTAACCTATTAAACAAAGAATGGGGAAAGCATCTACAAAGAAAAGTTCTTTTGGTGTCACACTAGGCCAAATATCCTTGAAACARGGGTGGGAAGGGCAGAATAATCTAATTTAAAATTTATCACCAGCCACCATAATCCAACAGAACATCTTAGCCCATGTGTAATTCTAACTACGTGGGTAGCGAGTAGATCTAGTTACAAACACCTGCATTTTGTCTTAGTACATGTTTTGAAGTTATAGTAGTAGGAACCCACTTTCAACAACAACAAAAAAAGCATAACATCTTCAATAAAACCAGTCCTTTGACCAAGAAAGTTTAAATTGAAATCTACCATATCTGCACTCTAGTTTTGCCACAGAGTGGGAAGAAGTTTAACACTCTGTGGCCTCAGCAATCACAGGGAAGAGATGACACTTGGGTATCACACTAATAAATAAGTTACATCACAAAGAACTGAACATCTCTCAGCTCTGTTGCCACTTAACACCCCTGTTTCTATTTCTATTCTAAGCATCAAGGAAATACAGAAGAGAATGCTCTCAGTTCCAACAACAGAAATACAATGCTTGTTGTTCAGTGCCTGATCCTAGCACTGGAACTCATCAAGCCAGTGACTTTGTGAGAAGTCCCTTTCAGCAAGATGTTTAAGCACAAACATGTGAAGCACAAACCATGTGGGAACTCAAGTACCACTACCCAGCTGGATCCTGGGAATTGTGTCCCCTGACAGGCATATCTGTTCAGTAGTAATTTAATTCTCTCTAGACAGGGGTTATTAGCACATTCATCCAACATAAAATGTTSTTTCCACATAACCATCCCATTAAAACCTTTAGTTGCTAAATTAAGATTAGAAGATGCTAAATAAAAGCCAAATGTATATTTTTAATACTTTTACCAGCAACATCGTGACTACACGTATTCTTTCCATACATGCAGTCAACAGTTTAAGAAAAGTAAACAAAATAGCTATAGCAAAATAATCCTTCTTAAGTTCACCTGGAACAGGAAATGATAGCAACCTCTATGGAAGGAAACTRAACTTGTGTGACACAGTTCATAAAACACATTTGGAGGCAGACAAGTTATACATGCAGTCCTACCATCTGAAGGTGGTGAGGCAAATGTAACAGTCACTGTTTCTGTGAGGACATTCCCACTATCTGTGGTCCATTGCAGCTGAAAGGAAAAAGATCTCAGCTCTCAGAAAGGGTGCAAGCTTGTCTACTACAGGAACACAGGTTCAAAACAGGACTTATAGGGAAACAGTGTCTAAAGCTATACTTTCTTATTTTCTTATAATTATGCACTTTGGGAACTCTTGATTTACAAAAAAAAAAAAGACTTTTAAACATATACTGCATCAAGAAGGTAAAAGTCTGCTCATGACAGTTTAAYGACTTTAAAACAGAAAACAGTCAAACCATTTGGCTAACTAACAAGCACACTCACCTAGACTACAGCAGCATAGGGAGAGGGAAAAGCATGATTTAACAGTATTGTTTGTCAAAGCTGATTTTAAATCASCAATTTCTTAGCAGTCAGTCTCATAACTGGGAAATCTAGGATCACTGTGTACCCTTTATTACTGTATAAATGGAAGAAAACTGAGGAACGAGATTTAAGAGCTACTGAGCATTTGGAACAATCAACTCCAAACTTAATTCACTTGCTATAAAGTRCATTTATTACTATTTACACATTCAAAATGTTTTCTAAGTTCTAATTTAGACTGCACCTGAGACACACTTCATCCCCATTTTTTCAGATACTGAAAAGTAGTAGTAACTTCTTCAAAACACAGACAGTGACAAAGACATGAATAAAATTTTATGCCATGTGTCAGTTTTTCTAACACCAATGGTTTCCAGTTCATGCAGTCATCAAGAAGTGCTAGTACTGTGTAATTTATTAATCAACTAACAGCAATCTAATGCTGATGAGATAARTACCGAATAAGGTCAGAAGGTTTTATTCACATTTAATCCAATCATGCTCAGCCAGAGATTCCACTGAAAATACTGCTGCTGGAAATAAAAAGTCATAGAGAATTTTGGATAAAATATGGCTAAGTGGTAAAAATTAAGATTTCCAGTATTTAACTCCAAAAATCAAAGAGATACACAAAGGCCAACATACCATTGCTGGGATACTTTCTGAATTGTACACAATCTCTCCATTCCTTAGGGACTTCTGCACTTCATGAATGTGGTTCTTGATGTCATTCACAGTGGGGAAGAAGGACAGGTTATGTCTTTCTGGCACTTCATCAGGTGTGAATAATTCTCTTTCCACATACTTTCTGTCACATGTTAAAGGACATCAAAATACGCATATAAATATATTCTGCTATTTCACTCTGTTAAGAGACACTGCTACCTTGTCCTCCCCTTATTGCAATGACAAGACAAAAGCAAACTAGATGATCTGAGCCAGTTCCTTGTGCATCTGCTACAGATTTTGGAATTTAAAACYCCCATTTATTCAAGTAATTTTAAAGAGTACAGCAGCTCTTAGTGGCTATTTAAAATTACATGGAAAGAGACAAAAGCTGGGAAAAACCAGACTCATGACATCTGGGAAATAGATTCAGTAATGCATCAGTCCTTTAGTTACAAACCAAATTAATCAAATGCATCAGTAGATACAGCACTATACACTGAGTGCACTGCAGACAGTTCTGTACCTTAGTTGCTTCCTGACTGCATAGACCTGCTCTATTCCCTGAGCCACCAGCTCTCGGATCTTGTCTGCCACTCGAGGATGAAGCCGAGAAGGCAGAGTGCTGTTCTCATCTCTAACAACTGCCTCCTCCTCCTCAGGAGAAGACACAGAAAAATGGGAGGGTGAAGGAGGGAGGCAGGAAGTTTCCATTTCATGATATTGGTGAGCTTGCTGAGTGGGCAACTGTACATACCACCTAGTAAGAAAAAAAAGAGTTTATACACACAATTCTCAAACAAAGGCAAAAWTATCAGTATCTTGGGGGAACAGTCTGACAACTACAAACAACCTARTCAGAGTGTCCTAAGTTTTTACAGCCCCTGAGCAAGAAGAGAATGTTTTTCAGAACTCAGGGCTCTCTTGCATCTTTCAATGCAAAATAAACTAGATTAAACCCTGAAATAATACAACCATTTCCATAGATTCCCTGCATGGAAACACATGTTGAAGTTCCATAGCTTAGTGCTTAACATGTTACTAAATTAATACTTCAATGACATAGAAGTCTTATTGACATTGTGGGTTTTTTTTTACTATTAATATTAATCAAGAGTCTTAATAAGTGACTAAGTTAAAAAAAAAAAAAACAAAAAAACCAACAACAAACAAGTAAAATGCTGTTTTTCTGCTTCATTTGTGAAAATAAAGAAAAAAGTGAAAGTTTCACCTGAGGACACCACCAGCATCTATAAAGTTCTTCTTCAGCATGTTGAATGCTTTCTCCTGCTCCATTCTTATGATTTTCTTGTCAATTTTAGGGTCAGTAGGAACTCTGTATTCTGGAAACTTTTGAACCTTTTTAATATAGATCCTTCCAAGAAGGAATAAAAACAATTCTCCATCAGTACACTATGTCTTTGGGAGGGGAAAGGCAAAAACTCCACGTACTTCCTATCAGGCATTAGTATAGAAAAAGTTCAAGTAGAGTGATATAGAGTGTGAGGAGTCCCTAAAAGAACTGCAAAATTCTTCAGGACACATCAACAGAAATGATGCAGACAGACACACTTCTGTTCTAATCTGGAAGCCACTCAGCCAGAGTGATTTCACTCCTCAGCAGAAGTCCTTGTCCCTCAGTGTAGTAAAAGCACAACACCAATTGTGACCAGGCTGCAGTTCCCCCAGCTATGCAGAACTGAGCACATACAGACTGAGCTGCAACTATTCATCAAACACTCTCCTAGCTCAGTAAAAACTGAACAAGCACCCAGGAGATTGCTCAAGGGTGAGAGGGAAAAACCCATTAGTATTGAAGGAGAAAATCCCCAGTGAACAGAACTGTAGCTTCTACAGCACAACAGGACACAKGCTAAACTAGGATGACTGACTGATAGATATCAGTGCAATTAAAAACGTGAAGAAACAACAAATAAGATGACAAAGTTTTAGGAGCAGAAAGAGTCACGAAAGGATACCACAATGCCTCATTAATGCTCAGGTAGATAATGAATCCCACTTTTATTTTATAGGGTGACATCCTGCTACTTCGCATCCTGGCAACCTTCCAAATTTCAGCCTTACGCAGTCTAACAGGACAGCATTTCTCCCTTACCTCTAAATGAGCATGGGCCTCAAGCTACCGTGCCAAACAGTGCYCTCTCATGGCTCACAGAAAGAATGCTTTCTTAGAATGCTAAGTCACTCTTACAGCTTTATAGATAATTCTTACCTTGCTGGACAAGTGGCTTTGTACAGCCRGCCAGAGGTGCTTTCCTGCTCACCAACTTTTTTGGGCTGAAATCCTTTCCTCCTTGGCCCATACTGGCACTCCATTACAATGGCTCTGCTTCCTGGACACAGAAAGTAATACACTCTATTCAAGCAATCACCRAATTCATTACAGCAAAATAGTAACTACAGAAGAGATAAGAGTTCTGAAGCAGTTATCTCTGTTTGCCATCAGACTCTTCAATAGGCAAAACCCTCAGATATAGCAAGCAAATATAGCACAAATGCTTCTCTCACAGCATGTAGGAACACAGAGCACTTTAAACCATTTGTYAAACTTACTACATAGCACTCCTGCAACCTACATGAATGCAAAATATTGGATTCTGCCCTGGTGAACACCAATACTTTACAAGATGAGAATTCTCACAAGTTGCCAAAGGAGCACAATGCTGGTAATAAACGTAAAAAGCAGAACTCCCAAAATAATGCAGAAAATCCACAGCTGAAATCAAAGGTGTGATGGTTCTGGTTGGGATAGAGTTAASTTTCTTCACAGTAGCCAGTATGAGGCTATGTTTTGGATTTGTGCTGGAAACACTGCTGATAACACAGGGATGTTCAGTTACTGCAGGGCTTACACAGGGTCAAGGTCTTTTTTCCCTGTCACCCCACCCCAACAATGAGAAGGCTGAGGGATACAAGAAATGGGGAGGGAATACAGCTGGGACAGCTGACCCAAAATGACCAAAGTCATATTCTGTGTCACATGGCATCATGTGACGCATATAGAGCCAAGGGAAGAAGGAGGAAGGGGGGCCATTCAAAGTTAGAGTGTTTGTCTTCCCAAGCAACCATTACAAATGATGGTGTCCTGCTGTCCTGGGGATGCCTGACAATGGGAAGTCGTGAGTGAATTCCTTACTTTGCTTTGCKTGTGTGTATGGATTTTCCYTTACCTTTTAAACAGTCCCTATCTCAACACATGAGTTTTCTCACTTTTACCTTTCTGATTCTCTCCCCCATCCCATTGGGGGAATGAGTGAACAGCTCTGYAGTCATTTTCTGCTGGAGTCAAACCACACAAAAAGGTCAACAGCCATTTCCAGCCTCCTGGCTCAAATCAACACTTCAGACCATGCTGTCCCATAAAAGCTCAGCCTTGCAGTTAAGAAATCTTAACTGCTAAATAACACAGTTTCAGCACAGTACACCCACACAAAACCAGATAGCTTAAACAAATACTTCTTTGCTCTAAACTTGAATTAAGTGACTTCTTCCAGTCAGCCCTCTAACAAACGGGATTGACAAGTATAGCATTAAAGTGGTCAAGAAAAGAACATCTTCCATATTTCTTCCACATAATTTTTAGTTGTTTTTTATTTATAGTTCATGCACTCCAGTAAGCAGGCAAGGAGTTTCCCATGCCACAAGTGGTATAGCCAAAAACCTTGTAAGTATTGTAACAGCAACATAATGTGTTTCCCTAAGATACCAAATGATCTAGTTGAAACTAAATGTCTCAAACGCATGTTTGGGGGAAAAAGAAGGGTAAGTTGCTTTGATTTTTTGATTTTATTCTTAGCTTTCTTTTATCTCACAGTTTATGGCTGAAGCTTTGAAACTAGTGCTAACATTTCCCTTTTTCGGTAACCGTCAGGGAAAAAAAGGAAGAAAAAGCTGCAAACATAACCTACATTATTGTCACTCATTTTCTCGTAGCAACTAAAGCCCATTCATTTTATACCCATATTAAACTCAGTAATTTCAYATATGCACTGCAAGAGATAAATATGGAATTCCCAAGCTGTGAAGTCTGCATGTACATTTGTAAAAAAAACCAAACACCAAAAGTCTCTCTGCAGAGGTCTATTGAAGTTTATCTTGTTTGTTTGGCTGTTTAAATTTATTTATTATTACTTTAAAAGTTGCCATTTAAATAGTTTATTGACTCCTGTGGAACAAACTCTTCAAAAGATCTTCGAGTTGGGTAGGAATAATCAAACAAACTCTTACCCTTAGGAGAACTTCCACGTCCTAATAGAGCAGATGGGACCTCCACCTAAAAATCTCATCACAAGGACCCCCATCAAATGATGCTTAGCTAATTTCTAAAGGACAAAAGGAAATAATCACAACAAAACATAAAAAAGGAAACACCTTTAGACTCTCAGAGCAGTGTCCAAGCTGCTCCTTTTTTTATGTTTGTGTCTTGACCTTATCAAAACTAAGGAACAACATAAAGATTCTTCTTTACGGCCCATTGGGTGCTGATGTTGAMATTTTGAAAGCATTATTAAAATAAAAGTTAGTTACCTGCATTGACAAAGGGGATCCCATCATATGGGACRTACTGAGATTTCCACATCAAGCGTGTGGCGGGTTTGGCTGGGCTTGGAGACTGGCGTGTCCCCCACACGCTCTGTGTTTGCTGCTTGTGGAGCGTGAGAACGCTCTCTAACTCTGTCTCGCTCACGCAATAGCCGCGGTACGAGTCCCCAATTCTCTGCATGGAAAGGATGGGAAATAACAGGATTATTCACCCATCTGATGGCTGAACATCACACAAGAAACAAAAGCAGCCAGGGACTCTGGCAGGTGAGAACACAGGCCCAGATTTTTGTCATGTTTTGGCATGTTTTTTTGCCCCCACACTAGTATCCTCATAAAGAGATTTACCATAGGATCTAACATAAGAGCAGTCCCCACTGAGGTCAGGAGTTTGWCAGCCATCCAAGACCCAGGAACACCAAAAACCCCTGAGAAGGTTACAGTGACTGTCAACTCTGSTTTCCAGAGGACAACTTCACTCCTGTGGCTTACACCCAACACACACTTCAGCTGCAGTCACTGACTAGACAAATTAGTATTACAGGAAGTTTTCCCCTTGACTGCCATAGAGAATCTCTGAATCACCAGTAATTGTCTCTACATCTACTGCAACACACACACACTGCACTGAGCTGCACCAGAATGCACCCACTCCTAGCACCAGTAACTCACCTTCTCAGTGCACTAACRATGAACTGAATGTCTCACACAACATCCCTTCCAACCTTCAAGGCACTCTTGATTCTCAACATTATCCAAAAACATACTACAGTAGATTTGCCATGTGCAAACTGATGATGGTTTCAATGAACGCTGCTAATGTCTGGGCAAGTCCACAAAAACTGCATCTAACTTGACTTAAAGTAGTTATCCAGCTACTCAGTGTCATCACAGTTGGTTCAGTGATGGTCTACCAGGGGCAGCCAGCAAGCAACAAAATTACTGGGACAGAGAAGGACTTTCCATCCAAACTGAGAATGCCATGCTTGCTTCTGTTCATATGCAGCTCAGGGTCAGGCTGGTCAACCAGCCCTAACAGCCAGAGTAGCTGGCCAGCTCAGTCTTACAGTGTATCAGTGGGACAAACACATGATGAATGAATATCAAGGTCTGACAGATTTCTTTTGCCACCTTCAGTGACACAACAGCCAAATGTTTAAATAATACTGACAGCAAAAGCAGCAWCAGAGTCTCTCCAAGATTCTCACACAGACACTTGAGTGACAACTGCTTAAAACCTGCCTCATACTCATCTAAGAAAAACAAAATGTCAGTGGTTCGCAAGACCTAAAGTTAACAAAAACCCAATGATGATCTTGTGAATGAACTGGGCCAACACAGTGCTGCTGATAGTGCAAGTCCAGACACAGAGGGTTGTGTGTGCTCTGGGTGTGTGAGTCTCTGAGACATGAGCTGTTCACACCTCAGAGCTCAYTGCTCTCCAGGCACTGCTGCAGAAGCTAACACTCACACCGCTGTGGGGAGCAAGAAACCCTGACAATTGTTTAGCTAGAAGTTATAAACMGTATTTCTGTCCAAAACTTTATCTGAAAAATTCAGGAGAACCAAAGCAGCATAAGCAGTATCAGAACTACTTTCTTTCCAGAAATCTGGGATGCTGCCTTTTGGATGAGGGATTACAGCACCACTCCATACAATAAATACTGTGCGACCAGCTGGGTTTTTTCCCCATATCTTATACCTGTAACTATAAATAGGTCATTGACATTATTCCAAAGAGATGAGAAGACTGATAAAACYGTTGTGCCAGAAAAGTAACAAAAACAGTTAAGGCAGTCTCTCCTGGCTTTACTTTTGCACAAGCTAGATCATTTTCCCTAAGCTGGTGGGAGGGAAGGAGGAGGATGAGAAGAAAACCATGCAGTACATAAGATCYCTGCTCTCTACMAGCTTCACAAGGAGGAAAAAAAWGGAAAAATGAGAMYATCTGCTTCAGACTAAWAAATTAATATAGTTTTGTACAATTAATGAATGCAGTTTTCAATTATAGTTTATTTCAGTACAATGACACATTCAGGAAATGCATTCTGATCAGACCCTGAAAACTAAATACGCTATTGAAAGTAACTCTTTTTAAATTAACTCCTTTTAAACAATGTAATTACCTGGCACTAATTGCACAGTCTCCAGCCCTTTAACTCCAAGATTCAAGACAAAAAAAGGAGCAATTCCTTCTCTCTCCACTGGCCTCGCCTCAGCAAAGGTACATATAAAAGCTTACCCCAATGTACACACACCAAAACTGCAGTTTTCCCTGAGAAACTAACTGCAGCAGGGTACCAGRGGCATTGGGCAGCCCAGACACAGCAAGTGTAAGCTGAACATTTTAAAGCAGTCAGGGAATCAACAGCAAACACAGAGCTTGGTGTTAATTTGGATGACTGTAGTTTTCACTGCTCTGTTTTTGCCCGCAGTACTAACTGCCAAAGGAGCCACTGCCCTTTGGACTGCAGAGGCTTCACCTGCTGACATCTTGTGGGAAAGCCACACAGACCTCAACACTGTTTTAAGTTTGTTTCTACTCTAGCAGCAACTGAAAGAGTGGAGTTGTGAGCTAACATATTTACCAACATCTCTCCAAACTGGATCTTCAAATTCCAGTAGGTCCCTTCAATTCTGTTACTAGTAATGAAACATTTTGGCACCTGAAAGGTAAATGACACCTCAAAATCCCAATGTTTCTGGTCTGTGCCCAAGAAAAGACAGATACATCCCAGCACTCCCTGATGGATTAGGGAGAATTAATGCACACAGACAACAGTTCTGCTGAACAGCATTGGGAGGAGATGTTTATGTCCACAGAACACATTCAAAGAGACATTATTTCTATTTACTTTTCCATACATGCTGTTCTGAATTTTAAACAGAGCAAGTGAAATTTCTTTTAAAAGATAGACAAAGCAGATAATAAGTCCCCYGATAATATGATACCAATAATAAGTGATTCAGACAAGCCACATGCATGTTAAGACAGGAAAGAATATACCACATGTGCTAAAATCACAATGAACTTTATCAACTAACTGGCCAACCAAATTAAGAGACTGATTCTATAAAAATTACATCTCCACCATGGAAGAATTCATGCTATTAATTTTCTGACCTCTTAACATTTAAGTGGACATAAAAATGGACAGCACCATATGTATTAAATAAATGGCACAACATAAAAGGAATAGATGAATATATTTAATTTAAAAAAATGTTTCTAAGCAGATACAGAAATAAACTCAATTTCTATGTCCCTCAAACTACAACTTCCAGTTATCAATGGCCAAGTCAACAGGGAAAAAAAAGAAGTGGTAAAGACATCCAAAGAGAGGAAGCAGCTAGAGAGGATGAGCTTTCCTTTAAAAAAATATTAAGAGACAGTAAAATAAACAATTGGTAGCAGAAGGAAGGGATAGTTGATCTCTCAAGAAACCTCCCATCTCCCTTCCCTTCCTGCTTAGTCATTTATGATACATTCTAGAAGCTGGCAGCCATCCCAGTCATCAGAGCAGTTCTGCAGACACCTAACAAGACGCAAATAAAGGAGGAGTTGTCTTTAGCTCAAAAGCCATCACAGAGAATAAAGCAAGCATTTTTTAACAAAGGAGAAAACAAGCACATGTACCCTCGCCTGCTGGGACAGAAAAAAAGAAGTCAGCAAGAATATCTAAAATAGGAATCCTTAGTAAAATACKGACATCAGGATGTTTTAAGTCTCAGACTTGACACTGGCCAGTCACRTGGATTTTAATTTCTGTGTGATAACACAAACCAATGAACAGTTGCAGAAGCCAGCAAAGTTTGCACTGTAGCTCAAGAGCAAACCCTAACAGGGCACACAGTGGCTCTTCCCAGCATTACAAGGTGTCAGGAATTCAGCACATTTCTTACTTCAGGAGCTGTTGATGGTCAGTTRTTCTAAAATTCTCAAAATAGAAAGCAATTTCACAGCATTCTATGTGTTTAACTGTGCTAGCAGTACCAGTACTACACACCAAGAAGTTTGAGCGCTTCTACAGCTATGAATTATTCCTTTCACGGAATAGGATCATTATCTTAGAGCTAGATGATAAAACATCAAGTCAAAATTCTTTGCAGCCCACCTCACAGTTCCTGAGACGGCGTGCCCATGCAGGCGTATTTAGTGGCAATGGCTGAAGTGGGATGGGAAAAGGATCTCCCACTACCCTGAAAAAAAATATAATAGAAGTATATACAGACATTCAGAAAAGCAACAATTAAGTCTAAACTACAAGCAACATCGAATCAGTGTCTTATGTATAAGCCTAGAGAATATGATCAAACTATGGATATTGTATCAACATGCCTTGAAAACCTGGTGTTCATTTCCTTCATATTCTGTTTCATTGTTAAAATMATTTACGGTGAATAAAAGTATTTTATTCTGTCTTCTACATTCAAGTCCTCCAAACACTCAGTGTTCTTAACATTGCTGCCTGACAACAATAGATAAAATATGGTGAAATAGARCAGCTGATTGTCTTTATAATTTTCTTATGCAAAATGATGGCAAAATGCTGAAGACTAAAACCAGTATCAAACATTTCTTAAATGCTGCACATTTTAATATATTTTAAGTTACTGAAACTATTTTAAGTACATATCTAGTTTCTCCATTCCCTATCTCCTGGGGCAGAAACCATGCTTATTTGTTTATTACTCCAAAACAGGTGTATCAACTCCTGTCTATACAAAYATGTCTYATTTCCAAKATTATTTTTCTGAYAYGTACAGACTTTGTTCACAACATCTGCTCACAAACTTTTCTCTTTGTTTTGCATGTTTCTTAAACACATATAATTTCTGTTTTAGTGAGATTACTCTGATCTTTTCCACTTCTTGATTTCTAAAGAGCATAAACCAATGCAAAGCCAGCTTGCAGTCCACAGAGCAAATGCCTTCTTTGGGAGTTTTTTGTAGTGGTCATCATTTTTCATTGCTGTTGCTTTATTTGGTTGGTTTGAGGTTTTGAGGGGTTTCCTTGAAGTCAAAAAGAATTCCAGAGCATTCAGGAATTAAAATAGTAGGCAACATTTAGCATGAGGAGAGAATCAGACTGGCATCAAGTGAAAAATACCTAACAATGGAAACTTAGCTAATAAGTCTGCCCAAGTGTTTCACCAACACACCATTCGCAGCTACTTCCTCATGTGTTGTCAAAGGATGCTGAAGAAGTTATCCAAAGAACAGATATCAGGCTCTCACAGTTAATAACCAACTATTGAAACCTCCATCTCAAAAATTCATCTCTACAATTAACTACTCTTGTGGGAGCATGGCTTGTGTAGGTTTTAGAACACTCATCCAAGAAACTCTTCTCCCTCAAACATCAACTTTCCCTGCAGTTCCTTCAGTGGKTCACTTTCAACTCTTGGCTGGCAGTAACAGTATCTGTTTAAAGTAATTTCAGTAATTTGTGCTGTGTTACTTAAATGCCCACCATTGCTCTGGTCAAAATATATCTCTGGAATACAGGTACTTYAACTGCTTTCCCTATTACTCTGGCACACACAAAAGCTGCCTGAAGCCACACATCATTCACTAACACTGGGCATTCATAACCTCTGTTTCATGGTAATTTTGTGATGAACATGGCAAAAACAAATTGCAAGAAAAAAAGGCAGTGCTAASAGTGGATCAAAGTGATTGTTCATCCTTTAACTCCTGACCTACCTGGTGGTTGCTTTTTTCGATACAGTGAGAGATGCCTGTGGGTGCAGAATGTAACTGCTTGCACTGTCTGCTATAGAAGCCACCACCATAGTCTGCAGGCTCCCATCACCACACTTCTCTTCTGAAACATCTTTACAAAAATAAAGCAGCTTCTTTGTTAATAACTGAACACAGAATGGGGAAAAACAAGCTATGATTAAACTTCATGTGTTGTTAAAGCAATCCTTTTGACAAAGGAAAGAAGTCTTACAGATGATAAAGTAGTCTAATAGCTGTGAATCAGTGCTCAAACTCCTGGTACACATACRAAGATACACTTGATAAGGTTGCTTATATTTAAGGACTTTGGTAATCATGTTACTGCTTATGAATCCTGTAACAACGCAAATAATCAATAATCAAATTTTTGCAAAGTCCTCTGCTTTACACTTCCAGGAATCCATATAGGATTGCACAAGTATTTTATTCAGCTGCAAGTCACGTACTGGTTGATTTTAAAATTAGAAAAAATAAGATAATGACACTGCTTTGTGCTTAGAAAAGAACAGTTAAACAAGAAAAGCAGGCTTCTTGTAATTGAATCTAACATGCTGTTAGAACAAATGTTTTAGCATTTCTTGGTAATAAAGAGCAATCCATAAGGCAAAAATTGCTCTTAGATTGAAGTCTATGTGCACAGTTAAACAAAAACTTAATGAAAAATTGTGAAAGCAGACATTCGATATTTTGGTCTTAACGTAAACACACAAGGTCTTATTAGACGAGGGATTTTTGCCCTTCAATAATGAAAGCTTCTTTCCCTCATGCAGACAGAGTTAAGATATTGACTCAGTACAGAAAAGGATCCACAAGAAACCATCATAAGAAGATTCAAAAGTGTGCAGTTGGATTAACACCACACTGGTTCCTCCTACACAGATGTGCTCTTAAGACACAACAAGGCTACTCTGAAGTCTGCACCATTTCATGCATTACCACCATGTGCAAACAAGTGAAGCTCAGGGGCTCACAGGCCATTCTCCTTCCCCTTTCATCTCCATARTAAACCACTGATAAGTCTTCCTACCTGTCTTTTAAAGATCAAATAACTACAAGGTCTTTTACACAGTAGGTCTCTAGAAACAAACAAAACTAAAAACCCCACAAATGACACACACAGCATTACTGTAGAACATGAATTCAAACGACACCAAGCTCCATGTTGAATGAAAACGCAATAATACTATCTAGTATTGCAACTTAGTGCTTACAAAGAGTTAGCAGCAATGTTTGACAAGTAAAGGCTTTCAGCTGGCTTTATAGTAACGTAAGACTCTGTTGTAACCAAACATGGTCTTACCCCTTTGAGAGCTGGACWGGGAGGGAAGGTTGAGCATTAGGGTAGGAACAAGCCTTTCAATGCAAGGTCATGAAACCATACTGCAATCCTAAGTGAAAAGGGCTAGATCACTACTTGAATCCCAAATCTTTTCTCTATCCATGCAGTACCAGGACTCTATTCTTACTCTGAGCTATCATTCCACAGAAGCACTTTATCAATGCTTGGACTTTCAGAATTTTATACAGAAAATGAAAAAAGTTTAAAAAACATTTGAGTTTAACAAAACATGACCACCTAGCTCTTAGTCTTACTCTGTGAATGCAAASTAGTACACAGCATTTTGTCATCAGCAAGGATTGCAGATAAATAATCAATGCTTTCAGATTTTAGTATGTCCATTTTCTTGAGAAAACCTATTAAGTTGTGCTTCTAGTTGTGCATCTCAGCACATGTTTAAAATGTGACAACTGACACATTCCAAAGAATGGAAAGTTACATCTCRTTTTCCTTGACTGGGAAATGATTTTCTACCTGGGTGACTCATTCCTGGCTTCACAAAACATGCATCATCACCAGTGATCTCAGGAACAGAAGATTTAATGCTCTCTTGGCACGACAGGAATTAATTACTGCTTTCAAAATGTAGTAAACAAATACTGAAAATTTGAAGCTGATAGCACAGCTGATGGCACAAATGTCCTTATTAACAGTAAATCAGGCAAGAAACAATTSTATGCTTGATTATGTCAATCTACCCATCACATACCCTTTACAAAGCGGACATAGTAGCTCTCCTTCCATAAGGCTTTTGCCCAACAGAAAATGTGGTGTGTGTGGTGCCAAATTCATAATCAAAAAGCAGATTCAGTGCATATTTTGTCTTATAATTCACTAAGGAAGGGAAGCACATACAAACAAGGTGCTTAAAAAACATCATGCAGGATGTGCTCAGCCACAGCAGCACACACCCTGAAGTGCAGTTTAAACTCACCCTGTGTGCTGGTCACATCCAGAAGCTGACCTGGAGGAATAATCACTTGGGTCACTCCTGGCTGGGCAGAAGGAATGACATGCAGCACCTGTCCATTTTCTGACTGGCTGGCAACAATCATCTGTAAGGTAGTCACACAGAAGCATAAATAGCATTAGTTTGTATGATGATCATACAGCACAACTGGGTTTGTTTATTAGCAGAACAGAAAATACCYTGCTTAGAATTAGGTCCTGTAAATCTACTTGATTTTACATAATAAGAAAACTGTCTCTCTATTGTCAATTTCTTAAAGGTACTTTTCCTTTTTCAATAGCCATTTAATTAAATATAGAAAAAAACCCCACCACCTGACATGATTCCACAATGAATTACACATTTATTTGAAACTTACAACACTATTATTAAACCTATCAAACACCTGAAAGTCATTCATAGTTGGGTTCGTTCTAACTCCATCCATGGACTAGCAGAACTAATTGTAACATAAAAATTTTGACATTTACTTCTAAGAAACTGACTTCTATGGGCAACATTTCATGCAAAAGCAAAGACAAGAAACGCCCCAGGACTTAAAAAAATACAAATGAAGTCCCCTGGGATTCTGAAAAACAAATCTTTATGGTATATTTCCCCATAATTACAAAGGACTTGATCCCAACAATGTTACAAAACCTAGAGTAATAAAAAATATTGTTTGTTTCTGATTTATTACATTTTAAAGGGATGAAGCTTCTTTAGTGATAGCACATCACATGCCAACCAAATCCTCTGGGAGAGAGTGACCTTTTTTATAAAATAGATGTTACAAATTACARAGCAACATTTTAAGAAAATTAGTTGAGGACTAAGGGAAAAGTGAGACATAATGACTTATTTCTAATGTTCTGATTCCCCCMAAAAAACACAGAGACTTATCCAGGGAATACAGAGAAAGCAGAAGCAGTAGAAGTATGAGATCTTATCACACCATAGCATCCAAGCTTGGTACTGACAAAAGACATCAGCTGTTGTTTAATAAAATTAGTAATGGCTGCAGACAGGATTTGCCTACCTGAAGAAGGGCAAGTKGAGCATGAACCAAACCACTGAAAAGTTTCACCATGTTGCTAAAGTCTGAATCAGCTGCTGCTACAACAAAGCAGAGTTCTTCAAAGAGCTCCCTGATCTGTGAACAGAGCTGCAGCCCTATTTGCAGACACACTCACCATGGGTGCACTGGGCCCTCCCAGGGGCTCACAGAGGGGCTGCCTGCTCTGGTCTGCCGGGTGGAATTCCTCTGCAGAGTGGGACCGTGGCTGGGGCGGCCGCACTGGCACAGCCGATGATGGAGAACTGCCCAAGAGGGGCACTGTGACAGGCAGGGCTGTGGGAGAGTCACTCTGTACAAACAATGGATCCCTGGAATCCATGCACGTTAGTTGCTTTCACAGAGGAAAAACAGTAAAATGTACGTTGAGTAGCAACTTCTATGAAGAAAAAAAAAAAAAAAACAAAGAAGAAAAAGAACATTTAAAACCAGCGTGCTGTACTGTGAACTCAGAGGGAGCTCTTGTCCTTCTGATCAACAAGTTAACACTAGCTGTTCTACTTCTATCTTCCATTTCCATGTTGAAAAAGTATTCATATTCCTGCTTTCTAGRAAGAAGTCTCTCTACTAAGACAAAAGAAAATCCCTTTCACTCAAAATCTGCTCCYCAAAATCACTCATCAAATGTCTCAAGTCTGTCCAGAACCTGAGAAGACTTAAACCAAAACTGTAAAATAGTCACCAACATGATTTTACTTCAAAAGAAATCCTAGATACTATTCCATTTGGTCTTTCCATACATGCATTTAGCTAAGAAGAAAAAGATCTCTACACGCTTTTTTAATACTTTACCACAGAAGAAACGCAAGCAATACAACCTCCAATTCAAAGGCATGAACTGTACAGCACAAGGCCAAAAATCAGATCTTCAATAGCTTTAAAAATTAGAGCTTATCTTCATGACGTTTGAAGAACCAAAGACTTAGAGTATATCCCATTTTCATTAAATTTAAGTACATAGGCACAAATATTTGTCTTGCTGAAACTTTGACAACACAAACATTAGGCATGTAAAATAATGGAAAAACAGGCAGCCCCTGTGTACAATAACATGTCAGGCTGTTGGCCTCTGCAAGRAGGGCTGCAATTTATTATATCTCTTGCAGCAATTGCACAAACAACTCTGATGTTTTTGCAACAAAAATGAATACACTACAAAACAAAGAATGAAGAAAAATGTTTCTTAATTTTATATAAAAGTCAGATTTGTGCTAAATAACCTCATAAAAAAATCTGCAGGCATAAATCTTCTATGCTGAAACTGTCTACTATGAACTACATCAGAAAAGCAGCAAAAAACAAATGGCACTTGTGTTAAAGACATTTTGCAGAGACCATAAGCACCCAACTAAATCACCATCTGAATGACATTATATGCTAGAAGAACATTCTGCAGAGGAGCATTCAGGCACAGAAATCTCCCCGAATAGGAATATCTGGCAATAAGATAAAGACTCCCCTTCCCCAATATCTACACACATGTCCTCTGTCYCTAGAGTTTTACTTGTGACTTTTGGTCACTAAGCAATGTGACCTAATTTTCAAGTGTTCTGCACCTCTCCTTCTTTTTTTTTTAAAGGGTTTTGTTAACAAAATAAAACATGCATTTCTTCAGCACTGTAGCAGGACATAATTACTGAAGGCTGTCATTGTAACATCTGGATATTCATCAGTTCAAAAAAGAAAGGCATAGGAATCCAAGGAAAGGATGTACATTCTTAAATGACAAGGTATATTACTCTAAAGGCAAGAAAAAAACACTGCATTGATGAAATAGCACATTTTAAACTCATCAGAGTGGATTAAAGGAAGCATCTACAAGGACTAAGCATTAGTACCTCACCTGAAAAACCTGATCATTTGTTTCTGACTCTCCTGTACCATTACAGCTGCCTATGAACAAATCATTACATCCTTCCATAGCAAYGTCATGCTCAGCTCCATCTTCTTCCATTTCAAGGCAACCTGAAAAGGTTATAAAAGTTTGTTTTAGCCTTCTGCTAAGAGATTGCTGCAGGTGTTGTCTTTAGGTCTTAYAAATTTGGTGTTACAAGTTCTAATGCTGGTTCAAGATAACAGTTCTCAAGAAATCCTTGCCTCCTTATCACTGTGTTACTCATTGCAGAAAAATGCCAGTGTGTTGCTCCAGAAGCACAGCTTAGGCTTTCACATGAGACAATTTGCTTGATTTGTCACTGCACACACAGATACAAAACACACAYACAGCCTYCCATCACTTTCATCTGAGGATGTCYACAAGCACTGAACTAACAACCACACATATCTAGAGAACACTTCATATTTAAACACATGCCAGCAGTGCTTTATAAATACATTAGTCACCTTCTTCCATAATCTCCAGACAGAATTTGGATTATGCAACTCTGTCATGCTGACATCTTGAAGTAAATCAATTTGTTTTAAAGACTTGTAAGACAGCATAAAAATGAAATAAAATTACTATTGTTAGTCTACAGTGGTATGCTTTGGGCAGAAAAAAAAACCCCATCAGATATGTGAAACAAAATTTGGCATTTATCACATGATGAAAGACCAAAAGACAGGGCTCCTGGCACTTCAGAGATCCCCTGCCTACCCTAAAGAAAGTTTCAAGATGCTCAGTTGCCCACTGCAAACCTTCCACCTGACAGATAATATTGAACAGTGAATTGCTCTCATGCACACAGCACACCCTTTAAAGCAGCAACCTATCTCAAATATTCACAAGCAACAGGATGAAATTACAACTAAATGGGTCCCTAACTTACAAGGATATACATATACCAGACTACACGCATAACATACCCAACTGAATAGAAGAAAACTTAATTCCTGTAGTTTGGGGCACAGGAGGGGGAAGGGTGCTCAGGATGTTTCCCCTCAGTATTTATTTTAAAGACAGGCTGCATTATATTAGCACTACTCCTACCAGCTGTATCTTCTTCACCACACCACGCAAGCAAATTCCTGAGGATGGACCTTCTTGGCTGTGGTATTTCAACCGTTTACAGATCTAGCAAGGAGACTGYAACAGGCTAGAGAGTAACTTCAAAAGAGCTGTACAACTCTTAAAGCAAGGATTTGTTCACTTCACAAAGATATAAAGGACACAGGCAAAGTAAATCCACATCTCCTTGGCTTTTGAAACTGAATAAAACATCCTGCTGAYACAAACAACATTATGAAGTTAAGCTGCTCATATGCTTAATATATTAATACTTTAATCTAAAGCAGATTTATTTTTCCATTCAATTYTCAAGTGATGACACTCCAGACCAAGTTCCAAATGAAGTTACCTCATGTTTATCCACTATTTTTGAGCTTTGGATCTGAGAACAATTACAAGATGTTTCACTTACAATGTCCGAAGCATGCTAGCAGCAAATAAAAAAAAAAAAAAAAAAAAAAAAAAATTTTAAAAAAAAAAAAAAAAAACAAAAAAAACAAAAAAAAACAACCCAGAAAACTAGATTTTTTAGGTTGAGTGATTCATCATCACTCAACCATTTCCTTTCAGTTCAAAGATGCAAAGAAGACACAGCAGTTTTGATAAAGCAGCACATTTAGTTCTTTGTTCTTAGTTCTTAGTTCTTATCTTGAGATAAACTGATTTTTTTCCAGAGACACTGATGACACGTACCCTGAGTGTGCTGRAACCCAACCACAGAACACAAGGACAGTTGTATGGGGTCAGAATAATAACCCAAGAGCCCAATATCCTGTATCTAACAATAGTTTGTAACAAAGCTCAGGGAAAAACAYCCAGCAGTAGGGTAAATACACAGTCATGTTTATCCAGCTTCCTCTCATAAGCAGCCCAGAAATACCTTAAGTTTTATATTTGTATTTAAAATAATMCCCATGGTATACAATTTTGCCCCAYGATTTTGTCTAATCACTGTTATAATCCAGGCAAACCAGTGGCACACACATCATCTGGAAAATGAACTTTATGGTTTAACTATCCAGGTTTCATTAAACTATGTGCTTGTGTGCAGCCACAAAGATTACTTTTGGTCTTAAAGAAATGTACAAGTASGTACACAGTTAACAGATCTTACACTCATACAAATATTGCTGACCAATTCCCCAAACAGGAGAGTTAAATCATTTATGTATATGTGTGGATCTTTTGTCATAAACGTGTAAATAACATGCAAGTATCTCTTCATAAACACTAAGTGAGCACCATAAAAATTCTCACTGTAATGCCACTGTATCACACACTGAACAGCAGGCTCAAGGAGAAATGTGGAAGTTTAATGTTGGTGTAAAGCAGGAACAAGAGCTGCATCCTCAGAGCACGCAGGCAGCTCTGTACGCCTCCGCTCCAGCCTTAACACTCCACCCAAAACATTTTATAGGCTCCATTTGGGAAACACTTCGCTCAAAATAATCAATCTATGGCTATTGCTGTCCTTGGTTCACCTCTACAAAGAGAGCAAGCAGCYGCAGAAACTGCTAGCACAAACACAATAACCATCGTGAGCATTCTTTGCAGGGTGTTGGTTCTACTTAATGGAAAATACACACAGTTGAATGCTTCACTATCAATCTTTTTTGGGKKTTTTTTTTATGAATTGTTTCAGAGGTTTTATAAGAAGACTTCAGATAATTGCATAGTTTACAACAACAAAAACACACCGTCTGAAAAAAGCTCCCTCTGAGGGCATTTCTGTACAATCACTCACAGTGGCACGAATTCACAAGGGCATGGATTACAGTAAAACGTATCAGGGAAAAAATTAGGGCAYAGTGATACTCTCCAGTAAAGGAGTTACAATTTGCTTTGTTAACTTGTACCAGATTTGAGATTTAGCATATCTCTATCATGGAAGAACCGGCAGATGCTATTAAGAATTCATTAAGGATTCCCATTTAAAAGGTTTCTCAAGTCAGTTTTTTGTAGACAACACCAAAACCTGGAAAACGCACCCGTGACAATTTCGCTGACAATGTTAAGTCTCTGAAGTATGCTTAAGAAATAGATCAGAGTCCACGAAACAACAACACGCCTGCCCCTTTCAACAAGTGGAGTCCCCAAAACCCGAGTCACTACCCAGAGAAACCCCAACTGTTCCCCAGAGGCCACGAAGGACTGTCAAAAAGGTGGGGAAAAAATCTATGCACAACCCAAGCACAGAGCAGATCCTCACACAAGCAGCCTTCTCCCCAAACACCAAACTCACTTACAGCTTCCTTTCAAGTCCACCGCGCGTTGCGTTTATTACTTCTAGCAGGCAGTTTATTGTGGGTGTATCGTTGGACACGCAGAGAAACACAAC